AAATTTCAGTTCCCGACTTTGTCAACTTCTGATCTCATATGTCATATGAATTTCTTTACTGAAACACTACCCCTTTAATTCCCTCTTATCTGTTTGGAAATTAATAGTTTTCTCTTTAAATGTCAGAACATTTTTTTATACACTGCTAACATTATACTACACTATGAGATTCCTAGGATTAGGAGTCTCCAATTTTATATGCACTGAGAATTATTCCGCCTTAATTGCGGTAATAATTTATTAACTAAATTCACTGGTTCTTAAAATATGAACTAATTATAAAACTTGCTACAGAATTTAAAAATACTGATATTAATTACATAAATCCCTCAGTCACAAAATATGACGGTATATTACTGAAAAAAGTCATTGACTTAAATAAATAAATTTACGTTATTTAATTCTAGGATTTTCTTGGTCATTACAATAGGTATATCCAATGCACCAGAAATAACAGCTAATTGGAGAAACAAAATCAGAGATTAGCTTCTAATGGAAACAAATATGCTAGAGAAATTTGAAAAGATTTTCGATTTATGTAATACCAAAGCAAAGACATGAGCTGCTATAAGGATGACCATCATCAGAGGAGCCGCTTCGAGTATCCATGGCCGCGCCGTAGAGAGCTGCTGATTCGCCATTCTCAGAAATCAAAAGAGAGATTTTTTGTGGAAACTGTCTGAGGCAGATAAGCCCTGCAAAATCAGTCGACAGTACGATATTCATTTAACAAAACATATACGAATTGGAATCAAAATAAGAGAATCCTCGAACTAGAATCAAAATAAGAACATATTGAGAACCTCGAACTGGAATGGGTCAGAGATTGAGGCACCGGTGAAGCTAGATCCAAGACCAACAGCCACTGTGAACCACTTCCTTTCGGCCAGAAATCCAAATCAAAGGAGGAGATTGAAAGAAAAAGGATGGAGCTCGAAGAAAATGAAGCGAGAAGGAGAGGAGCGGCTGCCTGAGGATGGAGCTTGATTCAAACTGCTCGAGCTAGTTAGGAGGCTAGGACTTCCTCTATCTCAGTCATGGATAATTTGGACAAAAAATGAATCAGGCCTGAATGGAAAGGCCATTCATTGCCCCCCACGTGTGAATCGTGAATCGTGATTAACTCAAAATTAAGAGAATGGGCTTTCCTACGGAAAACCCTTTCTGAAAAAAAAAATTAGAACAAAACAATGGAATTAGGTGGAATAGTCTTTCCTTTCCATTCCATTCCATTACTTCCTACCAAACACACTCTATAAGGTTTTGATTAATTAAATAAAATGATACTAAGGCCATTTTATATCTTAAAAATCAGCTTAAAGGTACCAAGATGTTTTGAAAAATATTGGAGTATCACTTTAATATTATGAAAGCATAGATTACTAAGAGCATGTTTCGCTATAACACATGGTACCAAAATATTTTTTTCCAGATATATCCTCCCTACCATAAAAGAGAGAATATGTTTCTGGGGTGGGGTGTGTTTCGTTGCCCCCCAAGATTCGTCGCCTTTTTTTTTTTCCTGTTGTTAGGAAATGATTAACTCCCCATTCATTTCACTGATTCAAGTTTAGAATTCGAGTTTTGCTACAGTAAAAAGCTCTCAGAAATAGTCACATTTAACTTTTTTGCTACAGTAAAAAGCTCTCACATAAAGTCACATCTCAACTCAAATAATAACTTAAATCAGCAAACTAAACGGGCCCCACGTGCTAAGCTTACTTCAACTCCACGCATCGTACTCTGATGGAAGAGTCTTTAAAGAGGAATCCATGTGGCAGATCATAATTAGTTGGCTACATTAAGTGGCCAAGCGTCGACATTTTGTTCCCTAAAAAAATGAGCTTACACGAAACGAGACGTACTGAATCACACGAGGAAATATAGTGTCGACAGCAGGCCATGTGTCATCGTCTTATTCACCGTAGGAGTAAATGGCGGGCCCCACTACTACAATTTGGCCTATTTACGATGACATTTATCGGCGTAAATAAGTGAATATTTACAGCGACATGTCGTCGCAAATAATTTTGTAAAACTGAAAAAATAATGTCGTCGCAAATAATGGATGGCGCCAGATCTCGTATGGCGTGAAGTTTTAGCGCAAAAAAAAAACATCTTTTACGACGACAAGTCGTCGTAAATAATCCATTATTTACAACGCAAATAGTCCCACACAAATAAAATTTATTTTATTTTTTTTCCTGAGCAAAAAAGATTATTTTGAGGGGTGGCAAATTTTTTTTGCGACGACAATAACCTATGTTGTCGCAAAAAGTGATTTGTAATTCCTCAGTAAAATTAAAGGCGGGGAAATTGGGCGGGTCCCCAAAAAGTATTTACGACGACTTTATAACCTACATCGTCGCAAAAAGTGATTTGTGATTCCTCAGTAAAATAAAAGGCGGGAAAATTGGGCGGGTCCCCAAAAATTATTTGCGACGACTTTATAGGTGTCGTCACAAATAATAATTCCAGAACCTTCCTTCTGAACCCTAAATAACTTAGTTATATTTACGACTACACCTGTCGTCGAAAATACTTCCATTGTCGTCGCAAATAGGTTTAAGTTATATTTGTGACTACCTGTTGTCGCAAATAGTCTTTTGTATCGTTGCAAAAAATTCTGTTATATACCCACGAGCTGAGCCTCCTCCTCCATTTTCTCCGATCAGTTTCTCTCTCTTTCTCTCAGTCGGCCTCTCACCCAATTTTTACGATTTTCTCACCCTAAACTCTCAAAATCTCTTTGTATTCTCTTCAAAATCAACAATATTGTATATTTTCTTTGTTTTTTCATCCAAAAAATCTCCAAATCTAAACTTCCGCCGCCCCTGCCGAAATCTGTTGCCGCCACCGATCTCTGCCGCCGCCGCCGCCCTTTGTCCCTATTAATCTTGCCGTTTTTAGCCCCCGTTTCAGTGGGTTTGAATTTTGTAAGTTTTTTTTATCCGAAATATTGTATTTTGTAGTTTAAAATTTATGAGTTTTTTGTTATTTGAATTGTATATAATTATAGATTATAAATCTTAAAATTTGATTTATACATTTTAGAATTTTAGAATTAGTACATAATTTGAAATTTAGATTATAGATTAAATTTTAGATTATGAATTTTGATATTGTTGAAATTTGATATTGACATTATTGAAATTTTAAGATTATAATTTGATTTAGGTTGAGATTAAAAGTTTTAATAATTGTTCTGGGTGGCACATCTTGCAGTTATGGTATGCCGAAATCTTTTAAAAACTGTTTTTTGCATGTTTGAATTTTTGGATAATAAGATAAATATGTCGTTATAATGCTTAAATTTTATTAAAATCTATTAATTTTAAGAATTTAATTAATAAGAATTAGTTATATTAATAGAAATAAAATTAAAAATTAAATATAAACATTATGAGTGCAACAATAAAAAAAAATAACTTGTTCATAAAATTTGATAAAACTTATAAAATTAAAATGCAGTATTTGTGACGATATATCACCTATTTGCGACGACATTGAGTCACCGCAAATGACCTTTTTTGTTGTAATGCCCCACCACCTAAAGCAGACAGTTGCCATGGCTACCAACGATGCGCCCTTGTCTGCTATTGTCTTCACGCACCAATTTGAGCCGCTAATGTTTTGATCCAACAGCTGCAAAAAAATCTTAATTTAATTTTTAAACAGCTATTATTTATTATATTTATTATTTTCAGTTATTTGTGATACGATTTTGTCCATTCTAATACTATTTTGCGTTAAATTTCTGATATTAGTTAGACAATATTATTGTAAATAATTCCAATAAAAAATAAATAAAAACAAAAATACACTAAAATAAAATATATGCATATTAAATTAAATAAGAAACAAATTAAAGAAAATAAAATAAAACTAATTTAAAAAGCAACAAAATAAATTAAAATCTTTTCTCTTGGTCTTTTGCTTGCTTCAGATTTATTTTCCCACTTTTGTCTTCATTTCTTTTATGTCTTTTTTTTCTATCTCTTTTTTTATGATAATTTACATAATCATTATTTTAAATGAATCATGCGCGTGCTATAGTACGCGATAAAAACTAGTTTTAACTATAAAGAAAAAGATGATATCTGAGTTCAGAAACTACAAAAATAGACTATTCTCCATCGTAGAATCACCCAAAAAATTGCACTAACAATATGCTACCCCCATGTAGTAAGTGCAACAACCATTTAACCAGCAAAAATATAAAAAAAAATAAAAGCAACAACCATTTTAATGGCTATTTTGAAAAAAACAAAAGCGGCCCTTTCCTTTCAATTTCTTATTTTCATTTGACAGAGACGTATGTTCCCATAGAATTTACATCCTACATAATAATGCTCCTAATTTGCTATATTTGTGTGTACTACTTGCGAGACTCGATCTCAAAGGAAAATTGTGGACTCGACGAATTTGTGTAACACGTCCGATTTTTACGAATCACGTTGGTGAAGTGAGGAACACGTTGATCAAGTCGGGCCAATTAGAGCACTTGAATTTATTGAGAGAATGTAATAAATAGTATATTTATAAAATTAAATTAAGTAAATAACATATTTCAAAATTATTCAAAATAAATAACAGTTTACCGCATAAACAATTTACAACTAATAAAAAGATTTTTTTTTCAACGATGGGTAAAAAGATTTTTTTTCGGCCTAAATAAAGTTTTTTACCACGTAAATGATTTTTTACCAATCGTAAATAAATCTTTTATATGATAAATTGCTATTTACTTTAAATAATTTTAAAATCTATATTTACTTAATTTAATTTTAAAAATCAGCTATTTACAACAATTTTCATGATGGGCCAATTTATAATCAGCGGTCAAGAAGAAAAAGTAGGTACACACTTCGTTAATATCGCAGCTCTAAAACGTGTAAAATATATTAAGGTGGCACACGGCAGGCGAATCCACTGTTTCATGCAGGGTTACAATATTCTATATAATGGCCTCTCTCGAACATTAATCGTATTGTATCCATCTTTATTTCTCTATGGCTTTATCTTGTTGTGCCTCTTCTGCTGCTTCCTTTAAACAATATCCCTCAGTTTCTCAAAACAGATCATATCAAAAAATTGAAAACCCCATCCTTAGAAACAATAATAATATTGATCTAGTTACTAAACCTAGTACATCACAAAAGTGGAGCGTTGCCCAATATGATCATAATAGTTTGCTTTCTAGTAGTACTCCCTTGGAAAGCCACCATCTATCAAAGCACTCTTACAATAACAAAGTGAGTTTCTGGCTGGTCTTTAATGTATTTTTTCTTACCAGTATAAAGAAAAAAGTTGTCTTAATTATTTACATATACATTGGCTGATTATAATTTGCTGGATTTGGATGTCTTTAAGATTGCTATCAGCAAATTATTAGCAGGAGAAGATCCATCTGATCAGGCTCTTAAGGTGATCGATGCTATCCAACGGCTAGGCATTGATTACCTTTTTCAGGAAGAAATCGAAAAAATTCTGCGAAACCAGTTTATGCTATTTGATCATTACACTGGTAACACACATAATATTGAAGATCACCTTCATGACGCTGCACTTCGTTTCCGACTCTTGAGACAACAAGGTTACTTCGTGTCTGCAGGTTCGGACGACAATTCGACGTATCAATCAATTAATTACTTGAAAATATCCTAATTAGTTATAATATGTATAACGTAATTTCATATTGTGTTGTGCATTTCAGGTATATTTAACAAGTTGAAGGACAAGAAAGGGAATAATTTCAAGACAGAGCTAAGTAAAGACATGAACGGGTTGATGGAGCTATATGAAGCTTCACATGTGAGCATAGAAGGAGAGGATGTTCTTGATGAAGCCAACATATTTAGTAGTCAGCTCTTAACGGCGTCCATGACATGCCTCGGTGATGATCATCGTCGGGCTAGAGCTATCGCAAACACACTGGAGTATCCGTGCCACAAAACCTTGGCCAAGTTCACGGCCAAGAACCTTTTCGGTGCCACTTCGCATTTTGGGAGTGCCAACGGATGGATAAATGTCTTACAAGAACTTGCCAAATATGAATTCAATCAAGTCCAGTCCCTACACAAGAGGGAAATTCTTCAAATATCACAGTAAGTTTTTGTTTTTTTTTTTTGTTTTTTTTAAATTAGAAAAAGTTGTTGAATAGACAAACATAAATGTTCTACAAATTTCTCGTCTATTTAAGTCGAAGAATTCTGAAATTCGTAAATAAAAAAGACGTTCATGATAACGCCAGCTTGGGATATAATTATTTGATCATGAATTATCAATATTAGTTTTTTTTTTTTTTAATTAATTTTGCATGACTCTATTTTGGCTCTAAAGGCTTAATTACTTCCTTCTGACTTTCTGGCTAATATCAATATGTGATTGTCTTGGTGAGCAATTTTTTTTTTTTTTTTCAGCTTGTCGCAGCACAGGGTTGAGCTAACAAAACCTATTGCGTTCATCTATGTAATAGATGATCTTTTTGACGTTTATGGGAACCTTGACGAACTCACTCTCTTCACCGAGGCAATCAATAGGTTTGAATTAGCAATAATTATTATTTATTAACAAGGATAATAGTGATTAGCCATTAATTTATGATGAATTATTTCCATATCGAATTTCAGATGGGACATTACTGCTGTGGAGAAACTTCCTCACTACATGAAGATATGCTTCAAAGCGCTTGATAATTTAACTAATGAAATCAGCCACAAGGTCTATCAAGAGCATGGATGGAACCCGTCGCACTCTCTTAGAAAGACGGTAAATTTTGTATATAATTTTTATTCGAGAGCAGTACTATACATCCTAACTCAGGTTGAATAGGATTAGACATATATTATAGAACTCATCCATGTGTATATATATGTATATGTATATATATATATATGTGATCAAACTATTACATCACGAATCATATTTAAGTCGAATTAGATGTTGTGATGCTCATGACCCATGTCTCACATTTGGACTCGGGTGTGTTTCTAATCATAATAATTAATCTGCGCGCAGTGGGCCACTTTGTGCGATGCGTTTTTAGTGGAAGCAAAATGGTTTGCATCCGGGCAAGTCCCAAAGACAGAAGAGTATTTGAGGAACGGCGTGGTTAGCTCAGGAGTGCCTATGGTGTTGGTACACTTATTTTTTCTACTGGGTCAAAGTATAACTCAAGACACCGTTAACTTTGTGGACAAAATGCCTGGGATTATAACTTCCACAGCAGCAATTCTTAGGCTTTGGGATGACTTGGGAAGTGCCAAGGTATATAACTCATGATCATATATATATATATATACACATATATATATATAATCAACGTTAATGATATAAACTCCTACCTATATATCACCAAATTGATACCAATATGTTTGCAATTTACGTACTAATTTGGTGCTAGCTAGTACTGCCATATTTTAGAACGTGCTTCTTTGATAAAATAAATAGAAATTAATTAATTAATAAATATATAAAAGAATCTTCGTGGCTTGCTAATGCATTTTCTAGCTGGTCGTAAGCATATGCAAGAGAAGATGCTTTGTAAAAGTGACCAAACATAAAAGCAATACATTTTTCTATTGAGGCAAAGTAGCAAAAATCACGATAATTCATCAACAAAAGAACATGATGGTGGTTGTTGATTTCTATAGGCGACATATGTACTGGTGTCTGGTGGGACCAAACTTGTATGGTTCATATATAGTCAAGTTGCGCGGGAACCGATTTTCAGCCAACCCTATTACTTGGTTCATATAGTAAGACCGATTGCAATACCGAGAAAGCCGGTTTTGAAATCATGTGATATATATTTTGCTAAACAGTACGACAGAATATACAGAAGACTTGAAAGCTAAAGCTGGCTCCACAGCTTTGGAGATATTCCAAGAAGGATGAGAAGGACCCACGGGAATAGAGATCGATTGCAATGTGATGTTTTAAAACTTTTTTAGTTTGAACTATAAACTCTAACGTGCTTTGAAACATAGGTTAAATTTGTTGGGGTTAAGTTTTAAAATTTTTCTGATTTATAACACGGTTTATAGCATCACCTCATGATTCAAATCGGGATCAAATTAAATTTATGCGTCCAAGCCATAATTTGGAATGCACGTCAATATTGGAGAATTAGAAATTGGAATTTTCATATATTATTATTATTATTTTTTTTTTATTGTAGGATGAGAATCAAGAAGGCCATGATGGATCATATGTGGAGTGCTACATGAAGGAAAGACAAGGCTCTTCAATTGAAGAGGCACGACAGAACATAACTGAAAGGATTTCGGATGCTTGGAAGTGCCTCAACAAAGAGTGTCTTTCTCCAAATCCACTTCCTGCGACATTCTTAAAGGCTTGTCTTAATGTTGCAAGATTGGTTCCATTGATGTATAGTTATGATGACAACCAACGCCTTCCCAGCCTTGAGCAGTATATGAAATCCATGTTTTATGAAAGTGGACCCATGTAACATACATCATTAAAGAAAATTATTACGTTGTGCTTAATTTTCGGATTCGTGTTGATATGAATGTAGAATCACCTCGATTGTATTTGAAAAATTCATCATAAGATGAAAAAACACAACTATCACAATGCTAATATATAGTTCAAGTACAATAGAATGCTTTTTTATTTTTATTTAAAAAAAAAAAAAACCATTTTTATGATAGAAAGTTGTGTGTGTATGTGTGATTTTCCCCCTAACCTGTATGTATGTGCGCTGCTCTTAGAATTTTTTTTTTTAAATAATAGGTTTTTGGAACGAACATTCGTATTGATGTTGGGTACCATCTTGGTTTAATTTCGAAATTTTGATCGACTACTAGTATAGATTTATGCAGGATCAGTTTCGGTAAAAATCTCATCTACGCTGTGTTGCTTCTTCTTTTTTTCTTTTCATTTTTTTCATTTTATTTTTATTTTTGGCTGAAGATGCTAAATTGCTTCTATTAAATTTGATCAAAATCACATGAAAATAACAAAAAACAAAATACAAAATTGATAGAACCATTTTGATGAATTAAAACAGAGGCTATACCTACACTACCGAAAAAGACTAGTATATGTTCAAGTGTGAATCAACAAAAATTTAGGGGTATTTTACACATTTACTCCCTGAGCTTGTATGTTTTTAGCAATTTGCCCCTTGAATTTTTAATTTTAATAAGTTTCTCTCTCAACTTGTAAAATTGTTGTATTAGTGTCGAAAATAAGCACGTTCGATAAAAAATTTCATCACAATTCAAATGTAATACAAATTTTTTAATTCACAACTTTTAATCCTTTCTATCCTATAAAAAGTTTGAGCAAATTTAGTAAAATGAGACACGTTGCAATAATTTTATAAGTTCAGATGATTGATTGTCAAAATTAAAAGTTTGGAAGGATAATTTGTTAAATTATAACAAGTTCGGATGACAATTATACTAAAAACTAAAAATTGGGTCTGCATTCACACATCCATACAATACATGATAATTTCTGCGTTGACAATTGTGGCTGGACTTTACTAATGAGTGTAGGATGAGAATAAAAGTGGCCACGAAACCAAACCATACCAAACTTGAATGTCTTTCTTCAAAAGAGACCTTTCCAATGTGTTTCAGAAAGGCTTGTCTCAATGCTGCTAGGATGGTTCCTGTTATGTACGACTATGATGATAATCATCGTCTTCCTGGACAAATACTATAAATGAGTTTTGCATAATTACATTTTCGTGGACAAATACTATTAAATATAAAAATTTAATAAGTAGCGTGATAACAATTCAATACCATTAATTATTATATTTTTTTATCATCTATTTAATTTATTATAAGTATTAGATTAATATTTTACGACTAAAATTTTTATTTTAACCGTAATATCATAAATTAAATAATTAACTGAAAAAACTATGATAATGAATAAAATTAAATTCTTATCAATTTAATAAAATGAAAACGTAACTATTTAAATCTATTATACATATATATACATATAAATGTATATAATTTTTTATTGTTCTGTTTCCCATCAGTTTCCAGTCATGTCAAAATCCATTCTGTCGTAGAGCCATGAGTCCATTATGTATGGTTTGCATTCCTTTGGCGATCTAGTGATACACGTGAATTGATTGCTTCTGTTCAACTTAATTATTGACACGTGGGGACGGATAGGGAGGTGATCGATCTCAAAGGACAACTTGCTTGTCGGTAAAGCTATTAATTCACACGCATTGGCCCAAATCTGGTCTAGCAAGCAGATTCTTACGGGAGGTCATAAATCCAAAACAGCCCCTTTTGTTTGTATTGGTAAATCCAAGTTATTCGTTAACTACAATAGAGAAAAGCTCATGACCTCACATCAAAAAAAAAAAAAAAAAAAAAAAAAATCCAGGCAAATTCTATAACTTGGGAGACGTGTTGTGGTGATCAAGAAAATTTTGAAATTAAATAATATAATATATGCATTTGAGTTAAGAATTTTTTTTTTTTTGGAGAATATCATAATATTATAATTTGTAACCGAAGAATTTATAAGATTAATATTAGTATTTCTAAATTCTATAGCAGATTTTATGTTAAGTTCAGATTTTATAATCAAGTAAATATATTCGGTCGATAAATTCTCGCCGCAATTTAAGGCGGAAGAATTTTCAGTACATTTATAATTTGAGAATCTTAATTTCAAGAATCTTCAAATATAGTACGGTGTTGGCAACATATCGAGAAACACTCTGATATTCAAAAGAAATCCTTAATTGCAGACCAGATAAATTGAAGTCATGAGAATAATGTTTTTAGTAGAAGGATACAATATGAGCTCGGGAGTCGACACCGTCTACAATAATGTCATTTTCCGGGACATAATGCAGAAAAGTTAAGTTTAGAATTTATTTAGTCTAGAAATAAATTCAAGACTCGAAACAGTCCAAAATATTACGCGAGTAAGAATTTAATTCGATATTGAATAATTCAAGGATTAATATTGAACTGTAAATAAGCAGTAGAAAAGGAACCGTCAGAAACCAAAACTTCCTGTCAACTAAGTTAATTCTTTACAGTCAGTATAATTTTTATCTGTTTCAATGGAATCTCAAGAGATAAGACCAAAGTACAAGATTAGACTAATATTTGATTGGATAAGATGTGATTTGATGGTGGTAAGTGAAGAGTAATCATGAGATGTTTTTTCTCTATTTTCTTTCCTAGTGGCTGGCCATGTTAAGGGGGTTTTAAGCAAATTTTGCGTAATGAAGTTGTACTAGAAGATTAAATAAAGAGATAAAACCAAATAATCACTTTATTGGAACGTGACGGTGTGGAGTAGGATGGCAGGATACCGGCTCTGATACCAACTGTAGCGACCCTCCTTTGAGGCCGCCACTGTAACTAACTTTTTAACTTGTACTTACTGAAATTTCTTAAAATTTACGGAACATTTTTTTTTTAAAAGGTCTTATTATAAACATAAAATACGAAATTGCTTTCTTAATTAAAATATTCAAACCTTAACATATCTGTTTCATAATCATAATTAACAAAACTATTTGTAACATAAAGCTGATTGCGGAAA